CTTTACGTCTGAAACGGAGGAAAAACCAGTAATGGAAAAGAAAACGAAAGGTAGGCTTTGCGTGTTGGTAGATTGGTACGAAAAGGAAAGGCTTGTAAATTTATCAAACCTGGACAGAGACTCTTGTTATCGGATGTAACTTAATTTTTTCTTAATTTCTTTGTGTTCTTCAATTAGATATTTTGGTTTACCTTCAGAAAGTATTGTAAAAACATTTTTTTGTAGTTTTTCTACTTTTTGAGAGTGCCAGCCAGGAGGCTTGATTTTCAAAGGGGAGAGTATTGTTATATAATTAGTTTTATGTTTTATTTAATTGCGTGATGTTCAGTTACTTGTTCTTTTGATGTTCTTGATGGTTTCGTTGTTTGTCACCTTGCCATTAACATTCCGTTTTATTGCATCATGCCATCGCCACTATTGTTGTCATCAGTCCTTTGTTTGTTTGAAGTAATAATTTTACTAGCGTAATTAAGGTGTGTTGTCATGTGATATTTATGTTGTGCCCTTGTTTGTGATTTCAGTCGTTATGTTAAGCCGTGAAGTAAAGTTGTGTCGAGTTTTGGGTCTGCCGTTATTTGCTTGGAATTTGCTTAGGAATTTGTTGCCGTATCTGGTTTTTGGTAATTCTTACGAAAATGTCGAGAATTTGATAAGGTAGTTCTTATGGACGTGTCGATAAAGATAAAAATTACTACAAGAAAATCAGTTTGTCCTCCTTTATCTGGTTTCTAACGGTAAAACATCAGTTGTTCTAAAAGTCGTTACTCTAACGAAACTTTGGATAGTTCACCTCTATGTAGTAGCAGTTCTTCTTGACTGGGAACCTTTTTTGTTCATTTTCTAGGTGTTTTATCTTGATTAATGATGTGATGAATATTTCTCACTTTATTAGCTTGGTGTTTTATTTCCCTCGAACTAATTTTTTCTATCTTTAAGGTGATTGATTTTGATATCATCTAAAAGGTACGTTTTCGAGCGTTCTTGATGGCGTGGCGTAAAAATTTCTTCAGGATTACTCATTTCATCTTTTGCACTTTTAGACTGGTGCGGGGTCCTTGAGAACACCAAGCCGTAACATAATATAACATGAACAATTGTACATAAAAACCAAAACTTTAAAACATCGAACAGAAGACTGCACATCATAGTAAGAGAGAAATACTCCCCGTGAATATAGAAATGAATCTGAATTTTTATTTCTGGCCCTGTGTGAAAACGAAAACTCGGGTAGCTCTGGCAATGTAAATGAACGATTCAACTAGAAAGCAACGCCTTCAATATGAAATACTCTTATTGACCGTGAAAATTTGAAATGGTTGTTTTCACAAAGTAGGCAAGTACAGTAATTACTATTCCGTCATAGTAAATACAGCAATCCTAATATCTTTAGTACGCGCACTTCATTGACAAACCATCAAAACGTAAGTAATCTTTATATGTTGACAAAAAGGAGAACATTAGAACGTTTATATGCTCTAGAAGCAGGAATGGCTGCACTTCCTTTGGTATGTTTACAAGTACCGCCTTGCATATTGTAGTTTGAGGGTGTTGAACCGTTTTGCGGAGCTAAAAATGTTAAAGACCAAGAGCAGGGTGACTTTTGTATGGTTTTAAGTACATTTTGGAAATTTCAAAGGGGGGGGGGCGTAGCTCTTAGCCTTCCGTGGTGCCAGTATTTTTATCATTTCAGACTGAAACATTTTGCAGTTTTCTGTTGATGTTTAGAACTTTTGGATTTTATGTACAATGGTTCATAGTATGTAATGTCATGGCTTGGTGTTCTTCTAAAGAAAGAAATGCATCAGAATGAGTGCAGCATCGAAAATATATACATTCCTTCGTCCTAGCTCCTTGGTCCTGGACTTGCCTTAAGGTCCTGCCCTTAGGTCAAGGGTCCTTTTTTCCGGTATGCCTGAAATATAGAACCCATTTCCGGAATGTTTACAGAAGCTGGACGTCCACGCTTTAACGAGCAGTACAGTTTACAAGTTCTACTGAAGGAACTACCAATCTTTAACTGCAGTCTGTCAAGAACATTTATTTACAAAGTTGCAATGACGATCGGCTATCAGTTTCAAACTTCAATATCTATTCTTAGCAAACAGAACTATACAGTATATTAGCCTGAATGGCACATGTGATATTATGATGAATTATATTACATTATATTATATTATATTATATCATATAAAATTATATTATATTATATTATATTATGTTATATTATATTATATTATATTATATTATGTTATATTATATTATATTATATTATATTATATTATATTAATATATTATATTATATTATATTTATATAATTATATTATATCTATATTATATATATTATATTATTATCATTATATTATATTATATTATTTATATTATATTATATTATATATTATTAGATTATATTATAAATTATATTATATTATATTATATTATTATTATATTATATTATATTATATTAATATATTTATATATTATATTATATTATATTATATTATATTATAATTATATTATATTATATTATATTATATTATATTATATATAGTTATATTATATTTTATTTATATTATTATATTATATTATATTATATTATATTATTTATATTATATATATTATATTATATTATAATATTAATATTATATTATATTATATATATTATATTATATTATTTATATTATAGATATTATATTATATTATTTAATTATTATATATATATTTATTATTATATTTATATTATATTATATCATATTATATTTTATTATATTATATTATATAACATATTGTTCAAAACAAGGACGATTATTTTTGCAAGGAATCCTTTTTGAGGCAGAAAAGGTTAAAGAACTGTCAGTGCTAGAGACAAAATCACTAAGAAACTTTTTCATTTTGAATGCTTTTATCATTGCTAGCATTTAAAAATTAGAAAGCTGGCTCCATTCATTTGAAGTTAGAAATCATATTACTTTTTTGCTAGAGTTCTATAGGCCTACTTACGAGAATAGTTGGTGCTTTAATAGAATCATCCCTGTATAGTTCTAATGTAACTTCCACAAGTTTTCAGTTAGTATATTGGGCTGCACCTATAAACTTTATGATAAACTACATCCATTAAATTATATAGTGGAATCCTATTATAACTAACTCTATAGGGAACCAACAAATGGTTCGTTATATCGGGAATTCGTTAAACTGGAAGAAAATTTTTTTGAGTTCTTTTTTCAATACTCATATTAAAAACCCTTCCGTGGTATTGTTTAGGCTATCCAAAGCTTCGATGCACATTCAATATAAAACAAAAAACTGAATTCAAAATATCATAATGGTCAATGATAAAAAATGAAGATCTTTATCGTCAAACATTGCTCTTTTCTTTCTGTTTGTTTGTTTTTACTTGAATTGCAATGAAGCCCTTGAAAAAATGTTAACTTATGCACTCATCGCATCTCCATCTTCAGCATCATAAAAAGTGCATGTTTAACGATAGACAGGGGCGGCGGACAGTGCTATAATTGCTATTACTGTAATAGCAATTTTTTTCAAGGCCACTTTCTGTGTAATGTAAGAAAAATAGAACGAAACACAAAAATTTTCAACCGCGGTTCTAGTGGTAATTGCCTCATTCAATCAAACTAAAGTAGCCGCAGCAGACCTTTCATCAAAAGCCAATATACCATGGCATGAGAGGAGCCTCATTCTTTAGCTACAGAACAGCCATGCTATTACTTTGGCCTTTTTCATAGCAAATGAAGGAAAACAATAGTACATCACAGCATAACTCCCTTTGTTTGCAGCGCATTAGGCTATTGTTTGGAAAGCAAATCCCGCTGCTTTGCTCGAACAATCTCAGATTTAATAGCAAGAGATCAGATAGGTGCTCATCTCGAGGAGAACGAAGTAGCTTGGCGCGAAAAAAAACCAAATCGTTTCTCTTCTCCTTGTATAGATGTATAAGACAGGATGTTTCAATGGCTTTCTTCCTTTTATATTTGCAAATTTAGGCAAATTAACAGGGCCTTCGCCTCAAAATGATGGACGTCCTAACCCGATGTTGAAATTAGTAAACAGCCGATTCAGATAAATTTTGACTTAAGGTGATTCAGATATAAAATACATATTATTTCTGGCATTTTTAGTTATAGAGGCCATTATACTGCTTTTACAAACTTTCAGACAAACTTCTCACGGGGAAACTAGTAGGTCCTAAAACAATCGATTAAAAACACACCAGTAAAGAACTCACAGGGTATATATATTTGTGGTAATAGCAACTTTATATCACTCCGCGCTGCCCCTGACGATAGATGTTTTACCGATTACAATAACGACTTCCCCTTAGAGAAAGTGATAAACGAACACCGCAAAGAGATAAAACAAAAAAGAGATTACAAATTTATGAAAAGTTCGTTATTTTTAGGGTTACTAAAATGAAGGGACCTAAAATTTTCTTCCCAATAACGAGAGTTCTTTATATCCGGGGTGCGTTATACCGCGAGAAGATTTAAGGAGTTTGTTAAACAGAATCTAGGGGACCAGACATTCTGTTCCTTATACCGGGAAGTTCGATATATCCGGGGCTCGTTATATTTGTATTTTGGAAAGTTGATGATCTGACAAATCTTTGAAATGATTATTAACATATAAATGAAGAAGTGATATCCAATGTCGTCCATTACTTTACTAACAAACAGCACTGTGAATGAATGACAGTATTCTGTAACACTTTGAATTTCCATAAAACCTGATCAGAGAATGCAAAAAACTGCTTGCGAATATAACTACGGCACTCCACTCAAAGAAGGCATTCATGACACAACACGAGGTATGCATTGTTGAATGGACAGAAGTAAAAACGATGTAGTTCCGTTACTAAACAAAGTCTTTTCAATGCAGCTAGTTGCTCATTAAGAAAGTTGATATGATTCTTTAGCATACCTTTGAAATTATGCTGTTGACAGTATTCTGTTACGCTTTTATTTCCATAAAAATTGATCAGAGAATCAAGAAATCTGCTTACGAACATTGTTACAACACCATATGGCAATCATGAAACCAGACGACGAAGGTTTTGCTATTAAACAGTATTAAACACCAAATACATCCATAACTAAACAAAGTGTTTTAAGCGCAGCTAGTTACTCATTATGAAAGTTGATTATGATTTTCTAGCATACCTTTGAAAAGGTCGTCAATATAATAATGGCCGTGCGACTGCTAAACATTCAGAGAGGGTCAGTCTGGATCTTGCCTGACTACTCTCGTTCATTGAGAAAGAACTGCCGAAAATAGCCTGAAATATGATAAACTTGCCCTGATTAGCGAAGCTGCAATCCTCCCAGCTCCAGTGTCCATGCCTAAGAATTTAAATATTGTTTTTCACTCAGGAGCTTCGGTACTCTTACAGAAAAGCGATCCTACAACTCTGCGGCATTTTGTGTTTCCACGCATAAAAATTAATGAGTTAAGAAAACTGATACTAGCGGCAATTACACAACTCCATATGTAAATTGTCTCCAGCAGAACTCCGTCTGCAGAATCTCTTTTGAATCCATGATACGCCCAGAAAACTGAACAAATGTTGTAGGGGGTGTAACAAGCAAGAAATAATCCCAAAACCAAACGGATTGTTTTCACCGCAGCTAGACGTTCTGTTCGAAAATTGGACGTTTCTTTTCGATTGCCAGGTTGAAATCGAAAGACTGCATTTTTGTAGTGTCTCTCAAGAGTTTTTAATGTTTTTGTATTCAGAATGAGAAAAACTGTCTTAAGCAAAAAGTTGAAAATGACGATGGTCAACTGACGGTAAAAAGAGACCCATATCACGGTAATCGTAGCAGCAACAAGTCCACTAATAAAACAAGATACAACCAATAGGGTCATCCGATTGTTGTTCATCATTGTCTGGTATCGAATCGGTTTTGTAACGTGAAGGTACCGATCAAGCGAGATGAGAAGAATCATTAAGACCGAAATATATACCAAAAAAATCACCGTAAATTCAAAAGATTTGAGCTCAAGGCATTTTCTTTGTCCACTTGATATCCAGAATGCTCCCAGTACAGGCTGTGCAAAGATTCCAAAGCACAAATCTGACACTGTCATGATGAGAATAAATTTATTTGAAAATGTCCGTAGCTGCTTCGATTTGTATAATGCGAAAATCAACAGAGAATTTGACAGGATATTGAAAAAGATAAAGATAATCAAAATGGTTCCAGCAATTGTTGTGTTCGGGTTTCCTGGATTGTTTGGAACCAGCGAGAGACAACGGCTTACCACTTCATTTCCTCGTACCATCTTTGTCTATGAAATTCCTCCTTTTTCCAATCAAAATACACTTTCTTGTCTTGATGCTTTTCTTGGCCTTTCAGTTGCAATCCTCTGAAATTACGATGCGAAAAACGAAAATGCTGCCAATCAATTCCCATCTTAATTAGATTCCCTTTACATTTCCATTTCAATTTAAATCAAATAAAGCTTCAATTGACTTCTTTAATGACTTGTTTAAAGTCTTAGTTGTTTATAAACATTGAAATCTGAAGGTAACTAAAAAACATGCAGAATGGAATCAAATTCAGTTTATTTATCTGGCAACGTATTAGAAAGCCTGAGAGTTTTTGCTTTCTATTGACTTGTAATTAAAGAAATCAAGCGCGATATGATTAATCGCTTAAGTCAGCTGTCATTTCTCCGCAATGGAAATGGGATGCATAATTCAGCTGTCATTTCTTGTTGGGGATACGAGCTGAAACGGCTATTGCCTTTCCTTTTGTTTGTCGCTCAAAGTTTAAATCCAATCAGAGAAAAGTGTTTTAATAGAGCATGCGCAGTTGCTTCCATTTTGCCGCGAAATACTGGTTTCATATCTCGCTCTCGCAGCTTCACTCGCTTGGATGAAACTGGAGTTGCACGATGGAGAGGCCTGTAACACCCCCTGCTTGCAGCGGAGTTATCCAAATTTACCCCCACTCCCGCAAGTCTTTGATTGTAAAGAAAGGCAAAGTATTCACAATCTTCATTTCTAGATTTATCCCCCCCCCCTTATTTCTGTCGCTGACGCACAAATTAGCCAGTTTAGTTAATTATCTAAACTCTAAAATAATTTAAAATTTGCATAGTGTTCTTGGTTTTTTGAAACATGCTAATTTAAAACAACTGGCAAGGAAAAAGGCAGGGGCAGAACTGATGCTTTTTACTGAAAAACCCTTGCTCATTTAAACATATAATAGACTGGTCTAAATTGAGTCGTATTTTTGATAAGGTAATTGGTCACTTCCAAAAAAGGAAGTGGTACTGTAACATTAAGATTACCAGAATTCTGAAACTATGTATTCTTCATCCTAAGAAATCCCTTTGCCTGTCTTAAATAATGACCCCTTAGCATAAAAAAGTTTTTGGTGGGGTTGGATCAACCAAATGTTATTTTTTAGTTTAAAAATGGCTGAATTAAGAATTAAAAACTTTTCTTTAACTTGCATGTCATTGAACAAAACAGTGAAAGCTTACTTTTAGTTATCAAAATGGGAAACTTAAGGGTGTACAGACCATTTTAAGGTATTCACAGTTAAACAAACATCCCCTTTAAATCATGCACATACATCTGCAAAAATGAGAAATGGTCAATCAGATAACTCCAGTGAATGCCATATGTTCTTGATTTGTTAGGGAAAGTGAAGGAAAATTCAAGTAATAGAAACATAATTTATTGGTTCTTATGAGGTAACCTATAGCATTTTAAGCACTAGCTTTTGACTGCTGAACTTATAAAAATTGCTTACTTAAAACATGCAGCCTTTCTAAATAGTACAGAGGGTGACAGAATTCCTCTTCTGTCTTTCTGCATTAAAATGAAGCCTTCTGTCTTTCATACTTTGAAGTGGAGTTACAGTGTTGGTGAACAAATTCATATTGGGGGAAGGGGTGCTGCCCGAAGTGTTACTTCCCATTCAGCAAATAGTTATAAATGAAATGTAGTAGAGTATATAGTTATAAATGAAATGTAGTAGTTTACCTAAATATATTCATGGTATGTAATGTTATGGCTTGTTGTTCTTATAGAGAAAGGAGTGCATCATCGGAAACATATAGGGTACTGGATGCTGGATGTTGCGTCCTGGGTCCTTGATCCTGCGCTCCGGATCCTGCATTCTGAGTCCTTGGTCCTGGGTCCTAGGTCATGCGTCTTTGGTCCTGGGTTCTGGGTCCTGGGTCCTACCTTAAGCTACTGGGTCCTTGTTTTTCGGTATGCCTGAAATATTGAACCCTGTCCAGGAATGTTTACAAAAGCTGGACGTTCACACTGTGTATACCTGACAAGCAGCTGTGTTATCTTGTTGCCATGAAAACAGTACAGTTTACAAAGATCTACTGAAGGAACTACCAATCAAATCTGCAGTCTATAAAGGAGATTTATCTACAAAGTTACAATGAAGAACGTCTTTCAGTTTCAAACTTCAACATTTTACATAAAAATGAAAAAGCGATATCCAATGTCGTTCATTAAATTACTCACAAACAGCACTGTAACTGGATGACATTATTCTGTAACATTTTGAATTTCCATAAAACTTGATCAGAGAATGCAAAAAACTGCTTGCAAACATTACTACGGCACTCCACTCAAAGAAGGCAATCATGACACAAGACGAGGTATGCATTGTTGAATGGACAATAGTAAACACGATGTAGTTCCGTTACTAAACAAAGTCTTTTCAATGCAGCTAGTTGCTCATTAAGAAAGTTGATATGATTCTCTAGCATACCTTTGAAATAGTCGTCAATATAATAATGAGCCTAGTGGATGATAGACATTCAGGGAGGGTTTGTCTAGTCTGGATTTTGCCTGACTACTCTCGTTTATTGAGATAGAACCGCCGAGAGGAGCCTGAAATGCGATAAGCTTGCCCTGATTAGCGAAGCTGCAATCCTCCCAGCTCCAGTGTCCATGCCTATGAATTTAGATATTGTATTTCACTCAGGAGCTTCGCTACTCTTATATAAAAGCGATCTTACAACTCTGCGGCATTTTGTATTTCCACGTATAAAAATCATTGAGTTAAGAAAACTGACACTATTCGCAATTACAAAAGTCCATTTGTAAATTGTATCCAGCAGAACTCCGGGTGCAGAATTTCTTTTGAAGTCATGATACGTCCAGAAAACTGAAGAAATGTTGGAGGGGGTGTAACAGACAAGAAATAATCCCAAAACCAAACGAATTGTTTTCACCGCAGCTAGACGTTCTGTTCGAAAATTGGGCATTTCTTTTCGATTGCCAGGTTGAAATCGAAAGACTGCATTTTTGTGGTGTCTCTCAAGAAATTTTATTGTTTTTGTATTCAATATGAGAAAAACAGTCATAAACATAAAGTTAAAAATCACGATGGTCAACTGACGGTAGAAGGACTCCCATACTACGCTAATTGTGGCAGCAACAAATCCACTAATAAGACAAGATACAACCAATAGGATCATCCGATTAGTGTTCATCATCGCCTGATATCGAGTCGGCTTTGTAATGTGAAGGTACCGATCAAGCGAGATGAGAAGTATCATTAAGACCGAAATGCATACCAAAAAGGTCACCACGAATTCAACTGATTTGAGTTCAAGGCATTTTCTTTGTCTACTTGATATCCAGAATGCTCCCAGTACAGGCTGTGCAAAGATTCCAAAGCACAAATCTGACACTGTCATTGTGAGAATAAATTTATTTGAAAATGTCCGTAGCTGCTTCGATTTGTGCAATGCGAAAATCAAAAGGGAATTTGACAGGATATTGAAAAATGCAAGTATAATCATAATGGCTCCAGCAATTGTAGTGTACGGGTTCCCTGGATTGTTTGGAACCAGCGACAGACAACGACTCACCACTCCATATTCTCGTAGCATCTTTGTCTACGATATTTTCCGTCTTTTCAATAAGAATATACTTTTTTATCTTTGTGCTTTTCTTGTCCTTTTAGTTGCAATCCACTGAAATTACGATGCGAAAAATGAAAAGGCTGCGAGCCATATACCATTTCAATTAGATTTCCTTTACATTTCCATTTCAATTTAAATCAAATAAAGCTTCAATTGACTTCTTTAATGACTTGTTTAAAGTCTTAATTGTTTATAAACATTGAAATCTGAAAATAACTAAGAAACATGCAAAATGGAATAAAAATCAGTTTATTAATTTTGCAACGTATTAAAAAGCTTGAGCGATTTTGCTTTCTATTGACTTGTAATTAAAGAAATCAAGCGCGATATGATTGATCGCTAAAGTCGGCTGTCATTTCTCACCGGATATTGACTGCCAATTTTGTAAATTCAAATAATGGCATACCGGAAAACAAGGACCATGTACATTAAGGCTGGACACAGGACCGAGGACTCAGGAGCCAGCAACCAGGACCAAGGTCACGAGATCCACGATCCACGACCCACGACCCACGACCTAGGACCCACGACCCACGACCCACGAACCACGACCTAGGACTGTCTATGTTTTTGATGATGCACTCCTTTCTTTTCAAGAACACGAAGTCATAACATTACATGCCATGAACAATTATACATAAAAGCCAAAGGTTTTAAACATCGAACAGAAGACTGCGCATTATAGTAAGGGGGAGGAATGCTTTCCATGAATATAGAAATGAGTCTGATTTTTATTGCGAAAAACTGTTATTGACCGTAAAATATTGAAGTGGTTTTCTTAGCATAGTAGGCTAGCACAGTAATTACTATTAGAATGGAGGTATCTTTAATGAACACAGCAAACCTAATATCTTTAGTACGCGCAATTTATTGACAAGCCGTCAAAACGTAAGTAAACTTTATATGTACGAAAAGCAATAAATTAGAATGTCTCCATGTTCTAGAACCAGGAATGGCGGCATTTCCTTTGGTATGTTCACAAGGACCCCAGAACATAATACAGATCCAGGGGTCTAGACTATTTTGGGAGCTGAACATGATAAAAACAAAGGGCAGGGCGACTTTTGTATGGTCTTAAGTACATTTTTGAAACATTAGGAGGGCCCGTAGCCATTCCGTGGTGCAAGTATGTTTACCATTTCAGACTGAAGCATTGTGCAGTCTTCCGTTCGATGTTTAAACTTTAGGATTTCATCTAAATATATTCATGGTATGTAATGTTTTGGCTTGGGGTTTTATAGAGAAAGGAGTGCATCATCGAAAACATATAGAGTACTGGGTCCTGGGTCCTGGGACCTGGGTCCTGGGTCCTGGGTCCTTGGTCCTGGGTCCTGGGTCCTGGGTCCTGGGTCCTGGGTCCTGGGTCCTGGGTCCTGGGTCCTGGCGTCTATGGTCCTGGGTTCTGGATCCTACCTTAAGCTACTTGGTCCTTGTTTTTCGGTATGCCTGAAATATTGAACCCGGTCCAGGAATGTTTACAAAAGCTGGACATTTACACTGTGTATACCTGACAAGCAGCTGTGTTATCTTGTTGCCATGAAAACAGTACAGTTTACAAAGATCTACTAAAGGAACTACCAATCAAATCTGCAGTCTATAAAAGATATTTATTTACAAAGTTACAATGAAGAACGTCTTTCAGTTTCAAACTTCTATATTTTTTCGAAGCAAACAGAACTGTATAGAATATTACTGATAGCAAACCGTTTTACTTACTGGCTATTCTAAACGGCACTTGCGATATCATATTTTATACTGTTTCAAACAAGTACGCTTTGTATAAGGAACCTTTTTATGACGCGGAAAAGGTTAAAACCGTTAGAGCTAAAGACAAAATCACTTTTGAATACTTTCATCATTGCTAGCATTCAAGAATTAGAAAGCCAGTTCCATTCTTTTGAAGTTAGAAATCACATAACGAAGACAGGAAAGTTTTGTGAGCAACCTAGAAAACAGGGTAACCATGATTTTTTCTTTACATATGTGATCTTGGTGGGTCTATGACTCAAAATCTGACAAGGGCCCTAAAATTAGGGGGCTGGTGGTCACCGGATCAATCATTTTGTTGCTCCCGGTCATCTAAAATTTTGTTCATCTAATCTTAATCTTTAGAACATTCAAAAATGAACAAAAATTATAAAAAACCTATGATGTTAAATAAACCTGTCAAAAGATATGAGCTCTTAAAATATTGCAAAAAAGACGTCATCAAACGAGTAAAAACGAGTAGTTATTTCTCACTTATTTCTCATTATTTTGACAAGTGCTAAATCTCAGAATGGCTTAGGATTACTTTCTGGAGACAATCGAACTATTTTCGATAAGAAATATTTGAGCCAAAGACCCACCAGGATCATATATTAAAAGAAAAAATACCAGTTAGCCTGTTTTCTAGATTGCTCACAAAAATTCCCTTTCTATTATGTCCGGGGTTTCGTTATACCGCGAGAATTTTGAAGGAGTTTCTTAAACAGAGTCGAA